CGACGCCCAAAACCCCTGCCCGACGATGCGCCCGACGCATAAACCCCCGCCCGCCAGCGCGCCCGACGCCCAAGACGCCCCCGCCCGACGCTCCCCCCGACGCATGACCCCACGCCTGCGCCTCCCCTCCCAACGCTGCGCCCGACGATGACGCATGACTCCCCAAGACCCCCTGCCCGACGCCCGACGCTGCACCCGACTCCGGGCCCACAGACCCCCCGCCCGACGCTGTGCCCGTAACCCGACGCGTAACCCCCCGACGCCGCACCCAACGCCCAGGACCCCCGCCCGACGCTGCGCCCGACGCCGCCCTCAACGGAAGCGCCCGCCCGACACCCGACGCTCAAGCCCGATGCCCAAGACCTCCCGCCCGACGCTGCGCCCGCGCTGCGCCCGACGCCCAAGATCCTGCGCCCGACGCTGCGCCCGACGCATGATCCTTGCCCGACGCTGCGCCCGACGCTTCGCCCGACGCATGATCACTTGCCCGACGCTGCGCCCGACGCACAAGACCCCGCGCCCGACGCTGCGCCCGACGCCCAAAACCCCTGCCCGACGATGCGCCCGACGCATGAACCCCCGCCCGCCAGCGCGCCCGACGCCTAAGACGCCCCCGCCCGACGCTCCCCCCGACGCATGACCCCACGCCTGCGCCTCCCCGCCCGACGCTGCGCCAGACGATGACATGACCCCCCGCCCGACGCCCGACGCTGCGCCCACAGACCCCCCGCCCGACGCTGTGCCCGACGCGTTATAACCTGACGCGTAACCCGTCGACGCCGCACCCAACGCCCAGGAACCCCGCCCGACGCTGCGCCCGACGCTGCGCCCGACGCACGAACCCCCCCCGCCCGAAACAATCCCGAAACCGTGCCCGACGCCTCCCCGCCCGACGCCGCGCCCGACCCGCCCGACGCCGCGCCCAACGCTAAGACCCCGACGCCGCGCTCGACACCGCCTGCTCGACGCTGCGCCCGACGCCCATGACCCTTCGCGCCCAACACCCAAGACCTCCTGCCCGACGCTGCGCCCGACGCATGACCCCATGCCCGACGCCGCGCCCGACGCCCAAAGACTTCAAGATGCCCCGCCCGACCGACCCACGCCCAGCCCCAGACGCCGTGCGCCCGACGCATGACCCCACGCCCGACGCCGCGCCCGACGCCCAAAGACTTCAAGATGCCCCGCCCGACGCTGCGCCCGACCGACCCATGCCCCAACCCCAGACGCCGCGCCCGACGCCCAAAGGCCCCCGGCCCAACGCGCCCGACGCCCAAGACTTGCTCGACGCTGCGCCCAACCCTCCCTACCCACGGACCCCTCGCCCCTGAGCCCACAGCCCAACATATGGGCTCTGCCCACGGAACCGTCAGCTGCCAGCGGCAATTCGCGACACCGCCCACAAGCTTGGGATCCTCGACACCTTGCGCGGGGCTGAGAGCCATGTTGGCCGCGCCCGCGCGCAGTTGCCGGGCATGGTGGCTCGGCGTCCGGGCGCATCGGCGTGCGTCGGGCGTGGCATCGGGCGCAGCGTCGGGAGCGGCGTCGGGCGCGGCGTCGGGCGTGGCGTCGGGCGCGGCGTCGGGCGCGTTCCGGTCGGGGCATCCTCGAAAACGTCCTCGAAAAACATCGCCGAAACGTCCTCGAAACGTCCTCGGAAACATCGCCGAAACAGCCTCGACGCGCGTGGTGTCGGGCGCGGGGATCGGTCAAACCGTCGGGCGCGGAGAAAACTTCCTCGAAACATCCTCGATTCGTCCTCGAAACATCCTCAATTTGTCCGACGTCCTCGAAACAGCTCCGGAATAGCCGCGAAACATCCTCGACGTTAGCGTCGCGGTGTCCGCCCGGAGGGCGCGCAGCAAGATCGTCACTTTTGTCGTCACCGTGCGCGGCCACGGGGCAGCATGGCCAATCAAACGGCCCTACTCCTGGCAAATCGTCCGCGGCAAGTACTCGACAATGCCGGTCGCTTCCCAGCCCTTGGCACGGCCGCTCGACCCCAGCAACTCCGCACAAATTGCCTGCCCGATGGCACGCCCGACGCCAAGCCTCCGGCCAGCCAAGAGCCATGGCTTCCAACAGCCAGGGAGCTCGCCCCACTGTGCCCGACGGCCCGGCCAACGACCACTGAAAACCATGCCTTGACAAGCTAGACGCCAAGCCACGCAAAGCCGCGATTCCAGAAACCAATCCTCGCCACTGCCGCACTCCCAGTCATGCCAAACCACGGAAAAACACCTCCAAACCACGGAAAAACACTTCAAACCACTCCAAGCACCCCGCCCAACAGCCAAGGGCGCGGGGCACCCGACGCTCAGCACCTCGCCCGATCGACAGCCAAGGCCCCCGACGCCAAGCACCTCGCCCAACAGCAAGGCGCCCTGACTCGCCAACGCTGCCTAACAGCCAATTACGCCGAACAGCGCGTCCGACGGCGTGCCCGACGCCTTGCCCGACGCCCTGCGCGACGACCGTCGACAACCACTGAAAAACTACTCCCGACCAAGGAAAAACACTTCCAAACCACCGGCAAGGCCATTGAAAAACACCGCCCGACTCCCGGGCCCTGGCCCGCCCGACCCCGAGCACCCGCCCAACATCCGGGGGCTTTTGCCCGCCCGGCCGCCCGCCCGACGCCAACCCCGCGCGCAAGGGCGAAGCGCTGCGCATGGCTTGTCCCGCCAAGCACCGCATAACAGCAAGGGCTTGCCCGACAGACAGCCTGCCCGACCGCCTGCCCCAATTGCCCTGTGAATCCGTCAAGACAATTAGCGGGGGCAAGACAATTTTTTACCATGAAAGTTAAGGTTTACCGTGGGCAGTCTTTTTTTTCCGTTGCCGTTGCCGTTGCTGCGAAAAGTTAATTTTTAACGGGGAAATTGCCGTGGCTGCTGCCGTGGCTGTTTGCCAAGGCGCAGTAGTTTCGCAGTAATTACTTCCAAACTACTGCGAAATTATCTCCAGCGCAGTCGTTTCGCAGTAGTTAGTTCCAAACTACTGCCAAACTACTGCGGAATTAGCTAATTAGCTCCAGTGCCGTAGTTTCGCAGTAACTACTTCCAAAATTGCCGTTGCCGTTGCCGTTTTTGTTGCCGCGTTTTTTTGCCGTTGCCGTTGCCGTTGCCGAGAAAAGTTACTTTTGCAAGTCAATTAAGAAGTCACTAGTTGCCGCGAAATGGGAATTGCCGTGAATTGTTTTGCCGGATTGCATGGTTGGGAAGTGTGCGCCTGACAGTGCGCCCGACGGTGCGCCAGCGTGCCCGACGCCCAACTTTTTGCACCATGCCCAACAACAGCCGGGCGCTTGCCCAACCCGACAAAGCTTTTTGCGCCATGCCCAACAGCCGAGTCGCTTGCCCGACGGTGTGCCCGACAGCGCGCCCGACGGCGTGCCTAACGCTTAAGCTTTTTGCACCGCGCCCACCAGCCAGGGCGCTTGCCCGACGGCCCGCTTGACAGCGTGCCCGACGGCGTGCCCGACGCCAAGCTTTCTAAGCTTTTTGCACGCGCCCAACAGCCGGGGCGCTTGCCCAACGGCGTGCCCGACAGCGTGCCCGACAGCGTGCCCGACGGCGTGCCCGGCGCCAAGCTTTTAAAGATGCGCGCAGCGGCCCGCCCGACAGCGTGTCCGACGGGGTGCCCGACACCAAGCTTTTTGCGCCGTGCCCAACAGCCGACTCGCTAGCCCGACGGTGTGCTCGACAGCGTGCCCGACGGCGTGCCCGACGTCAAGCTTTAAATGACACCGCGCCCAACAGCCGGGGCGCTTGCCCGACGGCCGACAGCGTGCCTAACGCGCGCCGCGCCCAACAGCTGGAGCGCTTGCCCAACGGTGTGCTCGACAGCGTGCACGACGCCAAGCTTTTTCGCCGTGCCCAACAGCCGGGGCGCGTGCCCCACGGCGTGCCCGACAGCGTGCCCGACAACCGCTCACAACGACCAAAAGTCACATAAGAAGAACTACAAACACTTCCAAACCACTCCAAAGCTGAGGAAAAACCGCCAGCCCACTCCGAAGCACTGATTCCAAACCGCACGCAGCCACTCCGAACCATGGAAATGCACTATAAACCACTCCGCGCCACTCGCAGCCACGCCAAACCACAAAAAGACCCAGTAAGCAACTCCTCAAACTCCTCACATCTGAGCTCACCCAACGCCACGCCGGCGCAACCCAGACAAGAGCCCTGGCCCGCCCAGCCCCAAGCACCGCGCCCAACAACCGGGGCGTTTGCCCGACGGCGTGCCCGACGGCGTGCCCGACGGTTTGCCCGACGGCGGCCTGCCCGAAAAACAACTTCAAACCAAGGAAACTCCAAAACGCAGGAAAAACCGGCAGCCCACTCCGAAGCAGTAATCCAATCCAAACCTTCGTCAAGCTTTGGTCTCACCAAAGCCAACCCTGAAATGTCTCAGGAGCAAGCCAACACCCCTCCAGGGCAGGTGGCCATGGCTTGACGTGGCTTAGCGAGGCTAAGCGCCTGCGGATGATTCAGGGGATGATTCAGGGGATGGTTTTGGGCAGGGGGGATGATTCAGGGGATGGTTTTGGGCAGGGGGGATGATTCAGGGGATGGTTCTGGGCAAGGGGGATGATTCTGAGGATGGTTCTGGGCAGGGGGGATGATTCTGAGGATGGTTCTGGGCAAGGGGGATGATTCTGAGGATGGTTCTGGGCAAGGGGGATGATTCAAGGGATGGTTCTGGGCAGGGGGGATAATTCTGAGGATGGCTTGGCCCGGGGGTGATGATTTGGCGCTTGATGCGCGGGATGTTGTTGCACAAGGGGGATGATGTGAGGGATGATTCTGGCGGTTGTTTGGGGGATGGCTTAAATAGACAGATGCGCTCTCAAGAGTACGCAAAAGCGAGTCTTTGCTGCCCTCGCTCCAACTCACTCAGGAGATCTCTTTACCCGAAACAAGGAGAGCGGTGTGCCATACGTCATATTCAGAAGCTGCTCCCAGCCCTTCTGGTATAAAACGAGCCAGGCAAGCCGCAAAGCGCCCATGTCCTGACGGTGGCAGTGCCCACTCCAGCCCCAAGCAAGCAGTCGGGGGCTCATGCACGGGAAACCAGCGCAAAGGTCAACTGACGCCAACAAAAGTTCAAAGACATGCTGAGCAGGGTTCGTTGCTTTGTCCCTCAGAAATACAAACTGAAGGCAACCTGCAACAGTTCAAAACTGCGCATGGGACTTGGAACCTACGCGTCCAGCGAATCCTTTCCCGCCTGCCGACCTGAAGCCCATGCTGCTCAGTACACAAAGGGCCACCCGGGCGGCCTCACGGACGACTGGTCCGGTCTGTCCAACTCTCACTCAAACTTGGGAGATGGTGGACCACTGTCCTGGAAGGGGAGCGAGGTAAAAATCAAAGACTTGGTGAAAGACTGGGTGCGCATTTGTCTCCCCAAGTGGCATGGTCTGTCTTTACCTCTGTGGCCCTGTCGTGAGATCATAAGGCAATCAGTGAGTCCTGGTTTGGAATGGCTCGATTTGACAGCAAGCGCCAGGTGACTCGATGGACTGACAAGTCATCGAGCGCTGCTTGTGGATTCTTGCAAGCTCCCAACCTGCAAGTCAGAGCCTATGCCAGCTCCGAAGGCTGGATGAGAAACCTGGGCATACGCTGCTCCCCCCGCAAAACGCACACCAAGCGATCCATCGACAAATAATATTCAAAAGGTCTTCAATCTCATAGGCAATTCGTAAGAATCTTAAGAATCTACTTCGGGAGGTTGGGATGTTCTCAGCTCTTGTGCCATGCCCCAAGTCTCAAGCATCCAGAATCACCGTCCAGCATGGATCCGGCCGGCCACAAAACTTTCCGGTCTTCAACTTGGTTACTTCTTTGTGCAAAGAGCATGTCGAGGGTCCCAGCGAGGTGCAGCAGAGCGAGCTCGGGGTCCTCATAGTAGTACACCTCAAGAATCGCCACTCGGCGATGTTCCGTACTCCCTGACCCCTGTGTCTTGTTCATTGAATGTAGTTAAGTGACAACTTATCACTGAGGGCATGGCTTGATTCTCTCTTGAAACTAAACAAATCATGGCAACCACGGCTTGGCCGAGCCCGTCCCTGGCATGTCACAACTGCCTGTGGAACATCCAGCAACTGCAAGAAACCAAGGGCGGCACCCAAACGTGCGCCTGGCGAGAATCCTGACACAATATTCCTCTGAACATATGAGGGCCAACCGTGTGGCAGTCCTGTGCCCGACCCCGACCACATAGATGATCCAAGGCCTCGAGAGATCACTACTCAATACTTGAATGTATTGGCAAATGCACAACATACTTCGCACAGGTGATACCATGCTCACCGCTCGCAAGACATCAAGCAAGTCGCACCACTACGTGCCCGGCATCAGGGGGCAAGAAGTGCTCGCCTCAGTATTGCATGTATTCCATGTCGCTGGCTGGTGTCCGGCCTTTTATAGGCCAATGTCAAGAACACTGCTCCCATCTCGCAGCTTACACCTTAGGCATCTGCACAAGAACGCAGCTCCCAAATCTTCTGGAAGTTCAGCGCCTGCAAGATATGTGCAGCTACGACGGCAGGGAAGAAACCATTGCCTGCTCGTTTCTGACCGAAAAGAGGTAAGCTGTTGCCCTCGTGAGAAATGTTTGGCCACAACGCCCGGTGCCCAAATTGCCTCTGCTGGGCAGATGTCCGCCTTGGCAAAAGGATCGCCTCGGCCATCCAAGATAATTTGCTAAGTCTTCACGATCATTCCCTGCTGTTTCGTCGCACCTTCGGCTGCAAGCAGTTGGACTAGCCTCCCATGAAAAACAAGCAGGCTTGATCAACCAAATAGCCAATGACGCTTTTCCGCAAAAAGGCCAAGCAGTGCGGGGCGCTCCCAGTTGCTGTGATGCGTTGCTCTGGGCTTGACGTGCCGTGCCAACGAGGCCTGTGCCGGCAATGCCGGCGTGTGCGTGAAATCAGAGCGCGGTCAAGATTCTTCTGTCAGCCAGGATGGCGTGCCAACTTCTTAGAACAAACCAGCTCCTTCTGAATTGAGAACTATGTGCAAGTGGCTGATCACAGGGAGTTTGAAGCCACGCAGGTCCCGCGTTGCAGGTGTTGCAGCTCCTTGCTTCTGTCCAACTAGCCTCCGTCTGCAACCAACTAGCCTCGCAATGTGTTTCCTCTTCATTCTGAGTTGACTAGGCCCTGAGCTAGCTCACTTTACAAGCTGGGAAGTTCCTTAGGACGCCTGGTCTACCCGGCGCCAGCGAAGTCTCCGCCCTCAAGCCTCCGGCTCGAACCAAAAGAAACATCGGCATGTCGCGAGGCTGTTGCTCCAGTTGCTTGGCTTCCATCGGCTTGGGGTCCAGGCAAACGGTCACACAAGCTATGACCTCGGCGCGCGGGCATGCGCGGCGGGCGCGGCGGGCGCGGCGGCCGCGGCTGGCAGATGGCGGGCCAAGGGTCCCCAATTTCTCGGCATCTCCCTCATTCAATATGCGCATAGTTGTGCCCGCACGGAGTCACTGAGGTCAAAAGTTTTTTTTGCTGGCCCCTGGTAAAGCAGCCGCTCCCTTCACCTGCTGCGCGCCAGCTCGCGCTCTTTTTGTGAGCTACATGGTGGGGTCCACAGCAGCGAGCCGGTACAAATACCAGCCGGTGACGGACTCCTCGCATGACTCAGAGTGGAAATTACTGGCTCCCACTGGACATGAAACATCGGGTCATGTCAACAAAAACCCTCCCAAAATGGCGGACCAGGGGGTTCCTCATTTGAACAAGTTGCCGTCCCAAGAGTAAACGTGAGCAAACGACGCATGTGGAACCTCGCAAAGCGGCAAACATGCAACAGCAATACGGGACCGTCTGCTTTAGCATCTCACCAGGAGTCCCGAACTCAGGCAAATGCCAACCTTGAGAAAACATGAGAAACAGCAGCTCTTGAATCCATCATTGACTCATTGACCCTTGAATTGAAGTCCGAAGGTGCGCCAAAAGGGAGGCCAATCTCTGTGACTTTCTCTTGTTAGTGAGTTTCGACACCAAATCGGTACCAAATATCAGCCCACGCCCTCCGTCCTTGTCCCAAATCGAGGCAACATTCACTGGCTCCTTCCACACAGGATCTTCGCAGCCGGCCTGAAAGCCGGTTAGACAAAATGCCAAAGCCCTAGCACCTGCGAAGCTTTGCAGCTCGTTGGCCCCATTTCAGCCGGGCGCCTAGAAATCTGAAGTGAATGGCCAAAATGGCTCTCAATGAAGTCGACATGCAAGTGGCAACGCTTCGCGACGCAAGCCGCAAGCTGCCATTACGAAGAAGAACGACATGCACCAAGATGACACAGCAAGGTTGTTCCTGCACAGCAAATCCCATCGACGTCTGGTCCTGCCAACATGGTTACGAAGGTTGATATAGGCCCATGCTGTGACTCCTATCATCTCCTATCTGGAAGCAAACCCCTACTGATTACATGGCACTGGCAACGAAGGGGATAAGCGCTGGTCAAGTCCCCTCCACTATGCCTCCGTGACCACTTAGCCATCAAAACCACTGCAGAAAGGTGCTTTTGACACGACAGCTCCACCTCGAGCTAGCCGCGCCTCTTTCAATCCCAAGCCCCCAGAATCTTCGGGCGCCGGAGAGAACATGAGCTGGCGCCTGTGGCAAGAGCATGCAGACTCCCCGACCGAGCACTCTATTTTTGACCAGGTCGTATCATTCGGCTAAGCACTGGATAGGTGTAGAATCACCTTAACTGGCAAATCTGGGAGATCAGGAATGGCACTTGCCAGCCAGGGCCACCTTTACTCAAACACAAGGCCAAGGCCCCAAAAGGCACCCCCCCCGCTGGTAAAGCCAAGCTCATAATCCAATCCTTATGAGACCCATGAACATATCATGCTGGATAGCGGCGATTCTTTGTCCAACGATATAATTGTGCGAAACAATGTGTGTGTGACCCTTGCAAAGCTACACTTAAGGAAGCTGACCTCTTCTCCACACACAAAGCAAGCTGCCAAGATTTGTTAAGTAGATGCCTTCTTACTGCTGTGGTCAGCCAGCGAAAATTACAACTTGCTCAAGAACTGTAGAAGTCGAAGTGCACGCTGGAAGCTCCAGCTGGAAAACCGCAGCTCTTCACTCAAATCCCAGTCCATGAAGTACATATTACAAATTCAGCTGCAACAAACGCGTGGCACCAATCTACTTTAGCAGCTACAGCTGGAAAATTCACAGCTTCTCACTGTAAGTGCAGTGCATGAAGCGCAGGCTTTCTTTGGCAATTTCAGCAAATCGTAAAAGTTGAGCTGCCTTTACACCGAGAGACGCGCAGTTTTGACATGAAAGGCGCGAATCAAGAGGCTAGGGAGGCCAGCAACTTAGGCCACGGCAGTCGTGGAAGCAGCTCCTGTCAGCTACATTCTCAAACAGCACTCCCCGATCTCCTCCCAAAGTGATCTACAAAACGAAACAAGAATCACAGCCCTCCGTCTCTCCCCTCTCCCGTTGCAACTTGCGATCTCGTGGCGCGCGCCCCATGCACTGGGAGTCTGGCGCTGAAGCCGGTGTCCAAAAAGCGCCTATTGGGCGATCGACTCGCTCGAGGAGGCGAAGCGCCCTACGTTGTCAACCAATCGACTCGGGCTGTCAGTGTTCCATTGGCGGCAAAACACGAGCCGTGTTCCTTTTAAGAATTGTGTGGGGCCACTGGAAGCACATACTTACGTTTTCTTTCCCCTGACGAATTTGGCTACGAGGCGGCTACACAGAACATATTTAATTGATAGCTGGCTATTTGGGGGGGGCTACGCAGGGGGGTTGCGTCGTAGTAGTAGTAGTAGTAGTAGTAGTAGTAGGTAGTAGTATAGGTAGTAGTAGTAGTAGTAGTAGTAGTAGGTGGTAGTAGTAGTATTACCAGTAGTAGTAGTAGTAGTAGTAGTAGTAGTAGTAGTAGTAGTAGTACTAGTAGTACTAGTAGTAGTAGTAGAAGTAGTAGTACCAGCAGCAGTAGCAGCAGTAGTAGTAGTAGAAGTAGTAGTACCAGCAGCAGCAGCAGCAGCAGCAGCAGCAGTAGTAGTAGTAGTAGCAGTAGTAGTAGTGGTAGTAGTAGTAGTCGTGGTAGTAGTAGTAGTAGTAGTAGGTAGTAGTAGTAGTAGCAGCAGTAGTAGTAGTAGTAGTAGTAGCAGTAGCAGTAGTAGTAGTAGTAGAAGTAGTAGTAACAGCAATAGCAGCAGCAGCAGCAGTACCAGCAGCAGTAGCAGCAGTAGTAGTAGTAGTAGAAGTAGTAGTAGTACCAGCAGCAGTAGCAGCAGTAATAGTAGTAGTGGTAGTAGTAGTAGTCGTAGTAGTAGTAGTAGGTAGTAGTAGTAGTAGTAGTAGTAGTAGTAGTAGTAGTAGTAGCAGCAGTAGTAGTAGTAGTAGTAGAAGTAGTAGTACCAGCAGCAGTAGCAGCAGTAGTAGCAGTAGAAGTAGTAGTACCAGCAGCAGCAGCAGCAGCAGTAGTAGTAGTAGCAGTAGTAGTAGTGGTAGTAGTAGTAGTAGGTAGTAGTAGTAGTAGTAGTAGTAGTAGTAGTAGTAGTAGTAGTAGTAGTAGTAGCAGTAGCAGTAGTAGTAGTAGTAGTAGAAGTAGTAGTAACAGCAATAGCAGCAGCAGCAGCAGCAGCACCAGCAGCAGTAGCAGCAGTAGTAGTAGTAGTAGTAGAAGTAGTAGTAGTACCAGCAGCAGTAGCAGCAGCAGTACCAGCAGCAGTAGCAGCAGCAGTAGTAGTAGAAGTAGTGGTAGCAATAGTAGTCGTAGTAGTCGTAGTAGTCGTAGTAGCAGTAGGAGTAGGAGTAGCAGCACTAGTACTGGCTACTGTGCTAGTACTAGCAGCAGCAGCAGCAGCAGCAGCAGCAGCACCAAAGGGTGGGCACGTGGGCGAATTGACTCGAACAGGCCTTGGAGATTACGTGGAAGCTACGCGAGCGCTGCGCTGAGGCTACGCGGAACAAAAACTCAATCCTGGCCAGGCCAGAATAAATCCAATAAACCCCCTTTCATTGCAAGATGCACGGCTGACATTAGCCTTCAGTGTAAAACGAACGGACTACTCGTAGTCTACGCGGCCCATGATCGACAGCTGCCTTTGCTAGTGGCTACGCGAAGGCTACGCGAGGCTATCCCTGTCTCCCCAGCCCTGTCTTCCCGGCCTCCTTGGCGGTTAGGCCCTGCAAGGATGCATTCACCTGCTGGTCCATTCAGAAACGGTCTTGACAGTCATGGGCAAGCGGACCCGGAACCCACAAGTATGAGCTGCAACATCTGCAACATGTCTGCCTTGAGAACTGTGCCCGGTCAACACTGGCACCCTCACACCAGCTGCACACAAAAAAGCTGGTGTGACCCTGGTCGCCCGTTTGACATGCCCTCGGAACCTCACTCTGCAGGTCAGCCAACTGCTGAATGAGCATCTCCGGAGCACCCACCTGAAGCGAGCGATCAGCACCTCATGCGGGTTTGTCTCAAAATACGGGAAGCCAAAAAATTGACGACTTTCTCTTGGTCTCCATTTACCACCGACCAAAACGAGGGTTTCCACCTAAAGAAGGCACGTTCATGTGTTTTGCGGCCAGTCAAAAAAGCAAGAAAGGCCTACCCAAGCAGCCTATGCATTGTATTCACCAGAACATCGCACCAGTCAGTTCGATTTAGAATTATCCGCTGTCTTCCACTGTTTTGGGCCGCGGTTCGGTGACCGCAGAAAATGCAGGAGTGGAGTGTCCTAAATGCGCCCAGCAGCTGAACAAGGAAAGCCCAGTAAATTGTCGTAGCTTACCGGAGTTTGGTGGATGGAGGTTGGTTCCCTTGCTTTACACTCTGCAGATCAAGATGGAGCCCCAAAACAATCCTTTCAAAGGACAACCAAATATGGTGAGGAGGGGCCGCCATGTGACTTTCCAGATTCCGCCATCTCCTAGTGGGCCCACAAAGGGCCCCTTTGTTCAGGGGTCCTCAAAAGGGAATTCCTTTTGGAAACCATCATGCTCGCCATTTGGGCTTGCCTGAAAGAGGGAACCCCTCTATTTTGGAGCAAATGTAGCGACACCGGGTCCTGTTCAGTTCCTGTTAAAACCATCCGAAAAGGGTACCAACTCCAAAGGAAGACAAACCCAGATACCCATGGCCATGGGTCAAAATCCAAATCGTACCCCCAGTGAACATCCCAATCACCACTAGAATCAACTACAATGGGTGGTGCACCTACCCAAAAATTGGTACCATTGGTTTTGACCCACAGCCATGTGAAAAGTCGACCAGATTCGACTCCGACTCCGGCTCGCCTGTCCCACAGACTCCTCCAGCGCCGCCAAACGCTCTTGAACTCCTCCCCACGCGCCTCTCGTGGTGCGCTCCTCCAGGAAGGGGTCAAGTCTATGGGAATTCGTCTTTCAAAGTTTGGATCAATCTCCCCCAAAAAAAATGGGCGGTTCTCCGGATTCAAAGCCCAAACAAGTGCCCTCACTTTTGGAGGGGTCGCCATATGTCTGCTTGAAACATCCCTAAGGACGCTGGCTTTACATTTGAAACCAAAGGGGGAGAGGACTGAGCTCTGCCTTCCATTTCTCCGGTGACAACATGATACAAAAGATGGACAGTTTCTGAGCCCAAAAGCAACTTTTGGGGGGGAAAAACCAATGACGGTGCTTCCCCTGTACTGCAACTCAAAGGAAGGCGCCCGAACCCACCTCTAGGTGTTCAGTTTCGGAGGCCAAGTGCCATTCCGTTAAAGCATTCTTCGAGTCCTCCCCAATAAATGAATTCAAGCCACAGAAACACGGGCATCGAAGACAAAGCGACATGGGCTCAGAAAGGTACAGGCTCCATCAGCACATGGCCGGCCATTCTGGGGGTCTCCGTTTAAGCAGACCCATATCCCAATCTGCCTCTGACAAACAAAGCCCCTGGTCCTTGCTCTGCAGCCGGCAGGAGAGCTGATAAAGGGCGAGCAGCACACGCCCTGAGGAACTTTTATCGCAAGCCTCGTAATTAAACTTGAACACCTTGAAAGCTTGCAGCTTCAATGTTCTTCAGGTCACAATCAGGCAAGGAACAGTTGCACCCCACGCCAGAACCAAAGATCTGACACCCCCCGAGCACAACCCGCCGAGGTCCGTTTCCATCCGCAAAGAACTTGCACCACCAGGGCGCCGGCCTGTCTGCCACACCAGGACCCCCGGCCTTGGCTCCAAAGCGGCGAAAACGACAGCTCACCTTCTGAGGGCCAGTCTCCAAGGGCTTCGTCCAAGGTGTAAAAATCCTGGCGCCGGCAAGTGTTGGCTAAAATCCCGGCATGAAAAAAATTGATTCGAGACGGACCGTGAACACTTCAAGACCACGCTGCTTGAGAGCGGAAGCAGGCAAACAATACGTGTGTGTGTGTCTCTGGCATTGCTGTACCTTGCCGGAGGCTGGCCGGGCAAATCAACATTGATTGGTGTGGGCATGTTTGGTGACTGAACCAACAACAGCGGAACTCAGCCAGAACAACATGTGATGGCCGCCTCGGTCAAAAAAGACTCACTGAGCAAAAAAAATTCGGCGCGGACCCCATCGCAACGTACCCAGGCCGGGGGAATGAAGTTGCACGAGGCCGCGGTCATTCAACATTTGCTCTGAGGGAAGTGTGTGGAGGAATTTGGGTTTTTTGTGGGTTCCAACAGGTGTGGCGAGGGTGTTCAAACTAGGTCTCTGATGAAAGTCCCAATACATGGACTGAAGAGGATTCCGTGGTGAGGGCTGCGGCCAATGTCGAGACATGAACTCCCACGGGGGCTCTGACATTGTGCAGGGTCTTCAACAAAGGCTGCGACTAGGTGTGACAGAACATGTCAACCAATATGTCTGATTCACCGGTTGGTCGGGCTCGGAGTTGAGCCCTTGTGAGCAGCTGTATAATAGCAGTCTGTGTGACTAACTCCCCGACACAATTAGAATCCAGCCCCAAGTAGGCCCGAAGGATGTTCAATCGACATTGCGAGCAAACCAGGCACAATATGCCAGGAATATTCCTTGTCCCTGAGCCGCTAGGAAATTCCAACCTATCGGGAACCACCAGGAGCTACCAGGATGTCTTCTTTGGACTTTCCGGGAGTCAAGGCTTCACGCCAGGCCTGTGCGGCTCAGGCGCATTGGCAATGAGAAGCGGCCAGCTGGTGCTCCAGAACCACGTCCTAGCTGTTGCTCGACCGAACCGGCGAAGCTTTGCAGTTGAGGAAGTGATTTGAGTCTTTCTGTGGACAAGTTCAAAAGCAAAAAGCGGCAGAAATCCATGGCAAGATGCCAAACCTTGGCATCTTGGCGTCTGGTCACAGTGCCGATGACGTCCCAAGCCCGGACTTGGACGCCGGTCCATGCTGAGTGCAACATCTCGATGCGGAACGGTGCTGCAATGGCGCGAGCAATCCTGCAGGCAGCAAATGGGATGCCCCAGTGTTTAAATTCCGGCCAGTGTTTCCTGAAAGAGTCGCCGCCTGTAATACCTGAAGACAACGTTTGGCTCAGGGTGTTCCTGTGCTCTTGTTGAATGACCACGAGTTGGTGCATGACAGGTGTGTCCATTCGAGGAACTCAACCGCGGCTTGTGCAGGGGAGCCCGACTGTCGACCATCTGCCCCTAGCATTCTTTATCATCTCTTTGCATCCAAGCTTCATTGGAAAGCGCTTTCAATTCAACGGCTCAAGCATGTGAGTCCAATTGTTTAACAACTAACTTGGTAACAGGCCCCTATTCACAGCAATGAAACAACCTTGAGAATACCCCATGTATCCCCCATGCCATCCATCCCTCACAAATATAAATGACTGACTGACTGCTCACATGGGAATCTCTGACCAAGACTCGTGGGCTGGCAGCCGAGTCGCTTGAAGAAGACCAAGTTCAGGCCTAAGGCGTAGAATGCTTCTTGGTTTGAATGGTACCGTCGGATTCATGAAGGGAATAGGGGGGGGGGGTCATTTTGGAGTCGGGCTGTTTCTCCATGGAATGTTGGGTCCAAAAGATTCAGCGAATATCGTAAGCAAACAGCCTGTGACTACAGAACTCAATCTTTCGAGTCAGCGTAGCAAGAACCACGCCACACGAGCAATCCATTGCCATCAAGTATAAGTGGATTGCGTACTGGACAGCACAAAGCATACTCAAACCCAAAGATGACCCAGCCGAGCGGCGTGGGTCGCCGAGCCATACACCAGGAGCCGGCACCTGGTGGCTTGAGCATGTAAATCATGGGCCCGGGACTGAATTTTGACCAGATTTTGAGATCTCAAGTGGCTCAACCAAAGTCGAAAAGCGTTCACTATGTTGCCACCCACCCCTTGCATGACCATGTCTGTATGGGAGAGGGGGCAGGGGCGGAGTGGGCGATGGGCTGTTGGGCAAGATCCGGGCGAGCAAGGCACGTGCCCGGGTGCGCGGGGGTTCCGGGAAGTGCGGGCAAGCGGGTTACCGGGCAGGCGGGCTGGCTCGCTTCCTTGCTCGCTTGCCAGCCAGCTAGCTTCCGTTTCTATTTGTGCGCTTGTGCATGTATGCATTTGCGTGTTTGTGTGTGTATCTTGTTTTCGTGGGTGTGCCTGTTTTTTTTTTGGTTTTTTTTTTCGACTTTGTGCTGTGTGTTTGTATGTCTGTGCGCGCTCGCGTAGGTTAAGGTGTCTCCACATAGGCTGTGTTCCCGGTCGTCCCGTGTTCAAACCACCAGAAGTTCCGCACGGCCGTGGCCCGAGTCCACGACTTGACGCCGGGCCAAACCCAAGAATATGTGGCTCACTAGCGCAGAGGGCAGAAAGAGTCCAACCTCTGGAAAAGCACACACACACACACAAAACTGGCAAAGCATGTGATGGCAATCAAGGCCCAAAAAGGCCACGTCTGTTGAGCAGGCTCCGTCCGCAGTACTTCCAAGGCAACGGGTCAGTCCCTCTTCAGTGAAGCTACAAAGGTAATGCATGATGTGGTTCTTTGTCTTTTCCGTGTACTGTCTCACGGGTATGATGGATGAGAACATCACCCCCGTACCAAAAACCAACGGCAGCAAAGAACCCAATGTGAAACAACACCCAATCAAGCTCTGCTTCGACTCTGCCAAAAGCAACAACTTGTTGCATTGCTCAAGTGCCACCAAAGCTGCCATGTGGTCAGCTGCATCATAGAGCGCAGAAGCCTCAATGCTGTCCACATCTGGGCCTGGTGGCGGGGCTGCTACACACAACCGGAACCCTGCGATGGAAGGAAGCCACAACTTCCTCGAGGGCCCATGTCTAAACTCAGAAAAATGGCACATGCTCATACCAGCACTCAAAATCACATGCGGAACCCTAGAACGCGGTGACAACTCGTATGTGGGCAACCCATCTTTTTGAAATGTTGAGAACCATCGTGCGGCTATTGGACGGTTGGGTCCACGTGGCACTCAATCTGTCCTTAATGATCTTAACGATAATGCTGGCTCCTTCGAGCCGCATCCGAGGCGATCGCAAGGCATCTGGTCCGAGAAAGAAAAAAAAGGAAGCACACAGTGCGTGCGTCAGGCAGTTCTCTCAAACAGTGCAGCATTGCTTCAAATGTCTGCAGAACTGCCTGTAGGTGATGACTTGACTCTCATCGGGTGAGTTCACTTCAGCCACCACCTCTGCCATGGACATCCCCAGCAGCTCATGCCCGAAAATACTGAAGAGGTCCTCGGCAGTGATAAAACCTTTCCCATCTTTGTCCACGAAAGTGTAGGCTTCACTCACCTGACATGGCTGGCAACCCCCCCCCCGCTCCCAGGAATGGTGACAAATGGCGTTGCAGGATGAACGAGCAGGGCAACTCAATTTGTTACCCTAGACCTACACAACTGTCGGATCCGATTGCTTTCCTATGCTCGTCGACCCCCTTTCTTCAAGCATGAAGTTGCTAGCCAGGCCTGCTTGGCGGTGAGCAAGTTGTGAAACGGTCTCAGAGCTTGCGACACATCTTTCGCACTGGCCATTCTCAGAGTCTGGAACATCTCCCGCAGCCCGAGCGGCGCTGCCTTCTCGGGTGTGCGAATAGCTTCCGCCAGCCGCCCGTCGTTCAGCCCCGCATCCTCCGCCTCCGAAGATGACGTGTCCACGCGGGCACGGGCACCCGTGAGGTGCGTGTGAAGGGTGTTAGGGTCCTCGGGGTAGCTTGCTTTGGCAGAGCTTCGGTGTTGCGCAGCCATCCACAAGATGAGCATCGCGCAGGCGCGGGCAAAGGTGCAAGCAACTGGTGGCTCTGGTATTGCCAGGATTGCGCTGGCAACGCCGTTGCGATTGGATGGAGTCGCCGACGCTATGCACAGCCAAGGATTATTGAAGGCATCTTGCGCAGAGGGGCGTGCACTCTGGTTCACAGTCAGCAGGCTCGTCACAAAGCTCCGGGCAAGGGTGGACAGCTCCTTCCATTGATCCTTGCAAATTGCGTCTCTTTTCGCGTATTCACGGCACTGTGTCATCTTTTGTGCAATGTCGACGGAAAACATTCCGAGACATGACATATGTCTGAGACGTCTGGTACAATACGTTGGGTCTATTGCTAGTTCACAACATGCTGACTGAATCAGTGCACGCGAATTGAGACACACCGATCACTTGCCTGACTGATTGGTGTGGATTGGTTCCCCAAAGGTAGAGGTGCTGTTGTTTTTCCTAGGCTGGAGGGCGGGTCGCATCCCCAGCATCACAGGCGTCACTTGGCCCAGGGGTCGCTTATTGGCTCTGATTGGGAGCTGGGGCAAAACCAATCCGAGCCCAAAACTCTTCCTAAAGCAACCTTCTCCTAAATCAACCTCAACCGCCCCAAGACCCCCCTAACTTAAACCAGCCCCCAGCAACTCCCAACTGCCTCCCAATCAGAGCCAGGCAGCCCCCGGCCAAGTGAGGCTGGTGATGTCGGGGATACGGCAAGCCAACCGACAAACTACTCAACCAACCAACCAACCAACCAACCAACGAACGAACCAACGAACCAACGAACCAACGAACCAACGAACCAACCAACCAACCAACCAACCAACCAACCAACCAACCAACCAACCAACCAACTCAGCCAAAGTAAAATAACCAGCCCTGGGAGCAACAAAACACCGGATCCATTCCCCAAACTTCCCCCCCCCCCCCAAAAAAAAAAAAAGGCAGCTTCTCCCGGTCCGCTCCCCGACCCTCGAAGTCCATCCCATCAAATCTGGCCTTGTCCGTCCTATATGGCCAAACATAAGAGGTATATACCCCATTTTCCCCTGGTGGTGGTTTGGGGGCAGCGGAAAGGCATTTCCAGGTATGGGTTCGGGAGGTGTGGATGCTTTTCTACCACCAAAATGGGCTTGTGCAGCCCTTCTTCCATATTCGGTATGTAATCGCCATACCTTCAAACCCCGTACCTTAAAAAGACCACACGACTTTTGGGGGCGTTTGGTGGCCAGGCGAAGCGGCGTGTTGGTAGATGATGAGGCGGCCCTGGAGGATGTGACGCCGCACCTTGGCCTCCATCTGATGCGCCGCCAGGTGGGCGTCCTCCTCCTGGAACGGCAGGTGCCCTGTGAGCATCCGGAAGACCACCACCCCCAGGCTCCAGATGTCGCACTTGAAGGTGTACCTGAGAAAAATATCCCTAGAACCCACTGGGCTATGAAGTGCAATAGGGAACCACCTCACAAGTGGCTGGTGCACATTCATGCCCACCGAAATAATGTCCACCAAAGGGTCCCCCGGTATAATTCAGACCAACTTGAAGTAATGACCCAATTGAGACAACTACTGGGTGTCAAAGCAAGCCATAGGCATTGAAACCGGTCGAATCATGAAACAGCAAGCCCAGAGCCCAACCAAGAGCCATGCTGGTCGCTGGATGGCCTTGGACCCTTGAGCACTGGTATCAAAGCCTTCTTCGGTAGTCCGTACTCAACAAGTCTTTAGTTGCTCCTAGCCGCCCTGCTCATCTGATACAGCAATCCACCCCTAGACCCTACAACAGCAAACATTTGTTGATGACTTGCGCGCGTTCCGTCACAAAAGCAAATCCGGGCTGGCTTGCAAATTTACTTCAAATGTCCTGTGGGCATCATGCCCATGCAACAGTGCTGGCAAGAGTGTAGAATCTAACCTGCGAACTGTGTTGTTCCAATGTAAAATAGAGACTTTCCCCTCCTCTGGATTCAATATGCCAGCTTCCGGATTCCTTGAAGTCCTCAGAAAACAAAACAACCGAAAGTGCGTCGCAAGGGCACACCTGTCAGCAAGGTTGAATCAGAGACCCAGCATGAACTAGTTGCTAGTTCACAATCCCCAGGTTTGCAACTCAAAACCAAAACAGTTGCTAGTTCGCTCGCTTGGTGCCTTGCTCTTTTGTGCTCCGACACGTTTTTTGCCTCCGGAGGACCACGGAGACCGGCTTTTTCCCCCCCTTTTTCCCAGGCCGCGCGGCTGCTGCTGCAGCACCTCCGGGGCCATGAAGGGCAAGGTGCCTGGGGATGGGAAAAAGACTCAAACAATTTTATTTTTATTTTTTTTAATATATATATATATATATTATTGTTTTATTAAAAATATTTGGGGAAAAAAAAAAAAAAAAAACGGCTCGGTCCCGACTCAAGACGGTCTTGTGTCTTGGACTCTCTCTTTGGGATTTGGGCTGTGAGTCAAAACCCTGTACCCCCTGGAGAACGCCATAGGTTATGCGACCACGGGATGCCAGGCCTTTCTGGCACTTCATCAGCTTCCCTGGCTTGAAGCTTTTGCTGAAGCCGAAGTCGATGAGCTTCAACGCGCCGGCGCCAAATCCTGGAAGCAAATCACTCGCGTGCTCACATGAGACCTGGTTGCTAAACTAGTGTCGCCAAAAGCGCATGGGAAGTTGGGTCACCCTCGCTACAATATGCTCGTGTGACCCTTCTCCTGGTCCAGCAAACATGAAGTTGTCCTCGGAAAGCGCGATGCTTTGCGGGTGTGAATTTGGAATCAGCATACTCGACCCACAAGGATCAAATCGGCCACGCGGCAGGCTTCAGGTCCCGATGAAGTATCCTGAAGTGAAGCAAACGTCATATTAGCGGCAGCGATCTCTCCAATTCCCAGCTGCAAGGGACAGGACAAAAGGAGCACGACGATAATTGCAGGAAGTCTATCCCAAATGATCCAAATGCAAGTCCAAATTGTATCCACGCATTTCTCTCAAACAACAAACACCATGTGCTTTTGTGCGACGCAGCCGCTTGCAAATGATTGCAGCTATGCTGCGAGTTGCTGTGCAAGTAGTCAATGGCCCTGAACATCTGCTTTGAGATGGATGCAGCATCCTCCAAATATTGACAAGGCGAAATCTGCAGCAACAGAATGGCCCCCCTCGCCAGTCACTGGTGCAGTGCTACATACGTAATTACCTCGGCATAGAGCCCAGATAGCATGAGAGATTACAACAGCGCCCGGACCAGCACCCTGAATGCATCGCCAAACAAGCACCGACCAACAGCCACAACAACACCTTGCCTGCATCGCCAAGCACCTTGAGCACAACAGCACCCTGAACAGCCCTCTGCTTGCATCGCCAAAGAAGAACACTAAAAACCGCCCCCTTTGAACAACACCAAAACAGCCCGGCCTGCGTCGCAAACAAGCACCGCCGGCACCTGCCATCGAACCTTGAGCGCGCCAAAAGGCGGCCTGACTAGCACCTAACTGCGTCGCCAAACAAGCACTGCCAGCAACCACCCGCAGCGCCTTGATTTCACCAAACAGCACCCTGACCCTGTACCACCAAACGACTGAGGCGCAAAGCAAGCCCTGCCAACGCACCCTGACCACCAGCAGCAACAGCAGCCTGACCCGCACACCAGCATCCCCACCAGTAACCACAACAGCACCCTGATTGCATCGCCAACAAGCGCCGCCAGAAACTACCGCAACTCCTTGAGCACACCAAACAGCTGCACACTGACCAGCAGCATCTTGACCAGCGCCCACAACAGCATCTAGGCTGTATCCCACAACAAGCATCACCTTAAGCACAACAAACAACCAACGTGGTCCGAGCTCGCAAAACAGCCTGCCCCTCTTTAGAGGTATGAGCCCCTTATAAAACGAAAGCAAGTGTAGAAAGAGGCCATCCGGCACAGACCTGTGATGTTCTCAGCAGTCAGCACTCATGCAAATATACCGAATACCCCATGTGCAGTCCTGCTCAGGCAGGTACTCCTGATCAACAAGGTAGCTCTGCAAAGTCCCTCCTGACACGGACTTGTTGAACAAATCAGGTGTGGATGTGTTCCTTTCTTTAAAAAAGAAGAAGCAACACTTAAAAAACAAGAAGAGAGAAGAGAACTTGGACTGTTCTTCACACTTGACCCCTGTTTTTTCCGAGGTGTCTCCATCAAATTCAACGGCAACTTGGGCTCATGGCTCTGGGTCCTTCCAGCATCTCGCAGATCAGCGTCAGGCGGTACTGCGACTCATAGACGTCCAGGAGCTGCACCACGTGGGCGTGGCTGATCCGCAGCATCAGCTCCACTTCGCGCGCGATGTGCTTCGCGCTCTTCTCGGCGTCTACGCAGCTCCATCGCAATGTCTTGATGGCCACCTGGCCAGGAAAAGCGAAAGAAGAAGCTGACAGTCAGCCCGAGTCAGTGTCCAGAAATGGAGGGCACTGGTTTAGATGGGCCTTCTGTTATTTGCCAGGGTCGTAGAGATTTGTCCAAAGGTGCGTGGGGTTGATGCAACCAAACTTTCGTCGAATGCGGTCCTTGCGGCCCTCCTTGTCCAGACCCAAATGCACTGCCCCGGAGAAGCCGGTGCCGAGTATCTCCCCGGTCTTCTTGTATTTGATCCGGATCGTCGTGCGCCGGTGGAACTGTTTGGAAGAACCTAGATGTTCCCGCGACATGCCCATCCCTGGAAGAGCAAACATCACTAAGGGTGACAGGGGAGATAGGATATGAAAGATTTCAACCACACAGTACCAAACTTGTCAAGCCTTGCTGGAACTCTGGCAAAGATTGAAATCCTGAAAGCTGCTGTGCGCCTGTCCCTGGTGTTGGTGTCTGTGTCTAAGTATGCCCGAAGGGGGCACGACCCTTTATCCTTTGCTGGATGTTGTCGCTCCACCGCTTCTGTGAGCATCTTGTTCCACGTTGGACAACGTCCCACTCTGTGCAGGGTCAATAAGAGCAAGACATACACTCACCAACTCAGCAGACATACCAAAAACGTGGTCCGCCCACGCTTCACTTACTTGTTGCCGGGCCGCATGAGCTCTCGATACGGTCTCCCACTAGATGGAAGAAGCCCGCAGGAGAGGCACAACCAACGGTGCAACCAAGGCGGCAGCCCATGCGTACAGCTCCGGCACGGAAGACAAAGCCCAAATATTGCTGCACAAGGTCGAGTGGACTAAGCAGTTGAAGAATTGAATGTATAAGCCAGTTCGAGCTAGATTGTTGAATCATCTGCGATGTTTCAAATTGCCGGCAACATGCCAGTAAAATGACAATCGCCTGCTGTCTAGTCAAATGCAGCAAGTTTTTGCGCCTTTGGGCAGTGCTTCTTGAGCCAAGTGGCCAGCGGTACCATTGTGGAGACTCTCACATGGCTGCAATGTTCCGTGAAGCCACGCTCCGAACACGCAACGTTCCAACGTGTGTACCCCAGGACACCTATGTGGTGGAATGACAACCGGCTTCTGGGCACCTGTACGGCCTAACTGTGCAACCTGGCTGGACATCTTGAGACCACACTCATGTCGCCAGAAATACACCCTGAAACCGCCTGAGCCCGGCCTCTCTCCTCTGCGCCGATGAAGCCGGGAAGGGAGCACTCCATGAATTTCTTGAACTGACCTCACTGGACGGAACGGCCTTGATTGGCAAGTCTTGACTGCGCTACTCAAAACTTGCAGTGCGCATTTCCCTCTCCCATTTCCCTCTGGCTGGTGGCTGACTGCCTGCCCAGGCACTGCTGCAAAGAATCACCTTGCCGTGCGCTCCTGACTCACAGGTCTCTGGCTCAACTCTGGCGCTAAAGTGCCCACACGGCAAAGTGGCAAAGCAAAAACCCTCCTGCACGAAATCGCCCCACGCAGCCACCACTGGTCCACATACCTAAGCCGGGCTTTTGAAATATCCTTCCTCGGTTGAGTGGCAATGCATCTGGGATATTCGGATATCAAGTCTCCATCGCAGATTCAACAGGTCCATTTTAGTTCCAAACCAGCGGCATGGTTTGAAGCCCAACTCTCTCCATATCTTCCGGGGCACGGCCGTGCCCGAGCGGGCCAAACTGCGAGGTCTTGCCCTGCAAAGCGGGGAAAAAACACAAACGCCAAGGCCTCTGCGAACGTGGAAGCTGATATCAACCGTTTCGAGCACAGTCTTTGGGGAACCGCTCTGTCCGATGCTTGCCGGTGCAAGTGCGCCATGTTGGGTTGACGGGGGGTTTTTGCCCGGACTTTCATGCTGCCCCGCGCGGCGCGCTCGCGGCTGTCGAGGGGGGGGAGGGAACGGGGGGGGGAATAGAACACGGCACGTCGAGGCCAACCTGTGTTTCAAGCTAGTCGATCCCGACACCCCAGCCACACGCCATGTGACTTCTCCGCTATGCGCGCGCTCGTCTACGCGGCTGCGCAGTCACGCTGCCACTTTGCCACAGGTGGCTTTAGACGCCTGGTGTCTAAGAGGGCTTGGGGTCTTCTTGCGTTTGAAGGAGCTACCTTCCCGAATGCTGGTCTTTGTCTCCACTGCGCTTTCAGTACCGTGCAGGAACGGAAGTTCTGCCAGCAAGTTATCAGCGCAACTCATGACCTGTCTGCTTCGCATATGCAAGGCCGTGCAAGGCATCCCGGCCTGGGCAGCTGCATGCAAGTGTTGGTGGCATTCTGAAGGTCTCTCCCTTAGAGAGTCAACCCACAGTCCTGGAGCCTGCTTCGTGCAAATGAGAATGCTGCGCCTGCCAGCACCGCATATTCGAATCAGAGATTCGAATACGCGAAGTTGGACATTTCCAGACTTTCCTGTGGTCCCACCAACGCCACGATTCGCTGCTATTCGCATAAGATTTGCACAATTCCCAACCCACGTCCAAGAGTGACCGTCATTCGGTCCGGGCAAACCCCCCCCCCCCCGGCAACCCACCATGTTGCTTTGCGGATGGCCAAAGAGAGCGGCGAATAACCTGCTTCATGAATCAACGGTGACCTTGCACACATCGGTTGCCCATCTTTCAAAGAAACCGAATCTTGGCCCAATACCTTCTCTGCTTTGTTTAAAAAGAGTGTACTTGGCTGCATGCCCCATGTTGAGAGTAGAACTACACGGATTAGCTGCTAACAAATGTGTACCCTGCACCAGAACAAATCTCCATTGGCCACGCCTGCAGCCCATGCTGCATCTTTGCAGTGGCTTCGTGACAGCGTAATCCGCCCCACCTCACGAGACATGGCTCCAGGCTGCGTGAGAAAGACGAGCAAAACAACTCGCAGCTCGTGTGGAGGTTGCCTCTTTCGCCGACTATCAACAGTTGTTATGAAATGTAGATACTTGGGCTAATATATAACTGGGCAGAGGTCCCATCACTGCCCACGAGCCCCGGAGATCTCGATTGCATCCCAAACTCGATTGCATCCCAAAGGCTCATCAATCAGCTCCACATCTTGAGCGCCCGCTTGCCTCAGGCCATCTCTGGGTTGCACTCGATGGATTGCGAATTCGGTTCAGCAAATGTTAAAGGCTTGCCGGTAGTTGAATGGAGCTTCCTTCGCGGGCTAGGTTCTACTGAAAGACAATGTCTTGTCCTTGCCTGGTGCAACATTCGTGCTCCTGGGTCAACATTCCCGGGCCGCCGCCCAGCTTATTTGAGGGGGGCGGGGGGGGCGGCGAGGGTGGGCGGGGACGCATGGCGAAGGGAGGTAAAGCTTGAGATACAGTCTGACAAAACTTCCAAACATCAAGGAAAAGTAGCCTTCACCCCAGTCGGACACAGAAGCCAATGTTCAACTCATTTA